AATGACATATCTATTCTTATGACAAATCAAACAGATATACACTTGCTCATCTTACCCTACATTCTCCTACAACTTTTGTCAAAGAACACAATCCTAGACCAGGAAGCTAACATAAAAGGAACCAACGTTTCTTTCTTAACTACCGGATATATCCTCTAACCATAAGTAAAGGTGTCATTTAGCATCACCAATATAAAAATAGGCTTACCTCCTCTCCCCACATACGGGAGTAAACAGTGTACAACTGCATGGAACGGCGTATCCTCTCTGAAGTATGTACCTCACACTGGCGAACGACTATCCTCACTAGGTAGCGAGTGACTTCCTTCAGTTTCTCCACCGTTTGTAACTGAACATTCTGACCCATCAGAAGGACTAGGAAATGCCAGCTCAGGTTGTTCTTGTTGACTGGTAATAAGAAGAAATATAACATAGAGACTTGTGAAGAACTATTTTCATGTATTAATAAAGTGCTTAATAACTTAAACTACATACACAAAAATAAATACAATTATACTGAACTGTCTCAACATTAGTCCTACTTTCATGTTTCATATACTGATTAATCTTTTCTGGAAGCTCAAGTCATAGTTGAACAGAAGCAAAACTAACTGGGAAATCATTATCCAGATGAGGGCCACTGGAAGGGCAGAGTGGAAAGAATTCCTGTTAATATTTGTCAGACTTCACCTAAGCACTTTCTATTTCAATGTACAGCTTATGTGTTGTATTCCACTGATATTCTGAATATCAAAATATTTTATAAATTATTCTTTGTTTTAGAAGGCTGTTGGAGAAAAATATAACAGTAACCTACTCTTTTAGACATAAACAAGAACCATTATGAAAATGCTGTTTTAATGTCTGATCAAACTGGTAATTATTATAGTAATCTAACTGGAAACAATAATTACACAATACTTCAGAGATCATAATAATAATATCAAGATAGTACAAAATATTAGTAACTTTTGGGCAGTAATATTTCTATTTGCATTACCCTTGTGCATGACTCTCTATATACAGCAACATGCAACCGACTCCCACATAAGCTAAAGCAGATCCAACTCTTACAGTTATACAGCCTCATCACCTAGCAACTGCTTCCACTGCAGTGAGTATATGTAGCTAAGGATTTTATCTCTATTATTTGGCACTCTGCCTTGGCAGTGTCCATGTCTGCCAAGAATGATGACAAGAGAATGGGTTAGTGACTTCTCTCCTGACTGTTACAACAAATATGTAATTTTAATAGTAGAATATATCCCAGGAATGTCAATTACAAATTTTAAGTAAAATTCTTATATTTGCAATTTTAATAACCACACATTATGAAAAGGGTAAAGTTCAGAAAGAGAAATATTTTCTTCAAAACAAGTAATTTAAAAAAGCTTTAAACTGGTGTTTTACCATCATAAACCTAAAATATGTATATATATGTATGCACACATGCACATGTATAAAAACACACACTTACACTTACACTTACCCTCACCCTCATTCTCTCCCCCATCTTATTACTAATTGAGAAAATCAGATCATAGATCATCACAATCTCCCTCAGTTATTAAAATTTGAAAAGCAGCTTGAATCTATTTTCAGTCAGCCATTTATGAATTTCAGATGAATATTTTTATATTCTAATATTCACACCTTCTGACAAAGAAACATTTAAAAAATCAGGAGAAAGAAATACAAACTGTTCAGTGTACCAAAATGAAAGCAATTGAAATTTAATTCAAATACATGGATATCTTAACAACATTACAACTCACATAAAGCAATTTAATATTCCTGTTACATAACCCTATCTCATTTATATGGTGAAAATCAGATCACTTTTCTTGATAGTGTTCCCTTCTATATACATCTATGGCATATAAGTTAATTAATTTATTTATTTAAAATTAATCTAATAAATTAATTAATTAAAATAAGACTTCTAAAATCTCATCATTTTCTATGTTATAGCAAATATGGAAAAAAAATGCCAGTGGCAGATATGGAGGTGTCTTGCAAACACTGATCCTGTTCCTCTAAAAAAAAAAAAAAATACTTATAATATTTCCTTCATCCTTTGTACAATTAAACCTTTCTTTGTTCCTACCTATTTTACAGCTGATGCTATCTGAGGTATACCTAGTCACATACAAAGTAGACCTTGGGTGTGTATTTTATGCAATAACATTTTACCGGAAAAATTCATGAATCTGGATATAATAATGCGCTACAAATGTTTAGGTTTACATGGTGTGGGAAAGTGACATTATGTATAGAAGTGTTCCAAATAATATTTGACTATGCTTAAAAGCTAGAAAAAATATATCTTTCAGCATTTCAGACTTTTATCTACTTCCCATTAAAACCTTAAATCCTCAGTAAACTTTAAACAAAAATAAAGAAAAGTAAACAAAACTACTGTTTCTGAAAGTCATGATACACCCATCATCATCTTCTATTGCTTCCAACCTAATCTCACAACCCAAAACAAAACACCTTATACACTTCCAAAAATAAATAAATAAATAAATAAAATAAATAAACACAGTATCATAACAAAGACAGGGCAACAATACCTTTGGAACACGAAGACCTGGTCGTGTGTGGGCGTGCTTGGAGCGCCGTCCTGAACCCACCCGGAGGACGCCAGTGGGGAGTGAAGCCTCTCGACCTCATGATCGGGTGAAGCCTCCTGCGAAACACTCCCCCCAGCCCATAGTGCGAGGCGTAGAGACTTCCGACCTGCCCTCGCCCGCCCATGACGCCTTGGCAAGCACTGACCTCAGAGTGCCGGCTCCCTCTGCTTTAGAGACGACCTCTCCCTGGCACTGACTTAATTTCTCCTCTGACAGTCCTCGCGTTTGGTCATGTCGGTCGTCTCGGGGCAAATCCTTCTCAAAGGCTCCTACAGATGCGTGTGCCCATGGTCTGTCAGCGACAATTAAGAGAATAAAGTGAAGAAAAGGACGACTTTCGTCTCTCGGAGAAACAACAACATAGACAGACGACGGGTTCCTGTGTCCGATTACTCCCTCGCGGCTTCAATATTGCTCGTATAATCTTATTTTTCTTTTTATGCCAATAATACCCTACCTTATCAACTAACTACGATTTCTCCTTTAGAAATATATCCAACTTTTTTGTATTTCTACCTTCATGATGAGGTGCTTACCAAAAATTAGTATTTTAGGTAATTGGTAAGAATCGGACGCTGTAAACAATAAAGTGAAGAACGGGAAGCGCAAACACGTGCTATATAACACCCACTTAAGATAATAACATTCTATTTATTATACACGCACCTTAATGACACATTTAGAAATATTTAGCTATATATGTGTATATATGGCTGTTTCATTTTAATAAGTAACTAAGATGTTGAGCTTAAGGAATCAAATTATGACCATTTTTTGTACACATGTAGTTTATGATACAGCCTCTTCTTTCCTCTTGACTATCAGGAAAACACGAAAGACTAAGGTTAAATGACCTGAAAATGCTAACCATTAACATCGACTTTTCGAATAAACCGTCAGATATTATTATGCTTGAAAATTATACAGCTACTCTTACACTCGTCCACAATTTTGACGATTTTCAAAGTTCTAAAACATTTCAGTTATTTTTTTTAAAGGCCTACAGTATTTTCTCTTTCCAACCTCACTGGTTTCATAAAGTTTTATTACATTATCATAAAAAGGACTAATATGTTAAGGGACAACTGTATATTTCTATTTCCATCCAATTATGCATGTCTTAGCAATATATAGCAAGGGTAATTAACAAATAACAAGACTATGGCTATACTACTGCAGACTTACCATTAACAAGGAACAAGTCACTGGCTCACTTGCTAGCCAAAGATAAGGCAAATAAACAGCTGTTGCATTACAGAGTATATACTATACAGATATCTCTTGTTTCTTGCTCTATCTTGTCAGAAAAGATTGAAGCAGACTTTTTTTGAACTGCATATAAGGTTTAACAGGTGCCTGATATTAATGCTTTTTGTTTTCATTAACATTATTTTGTATACCATGTGCTTATGATGAAAAATAATTGTACTGAATTTAGATTTTACAAGTGCATTATAATAACAACCTATGTATATTACAATTTAAAGCATCAATTGCAAGTAGTATGCCTATAAGCTAAAATCTAATTACTATATTTTTGTTAATTATATTTACCATATTAATGTATATTCTAAAAAAAATGTTTAACTATAAAACAGAGGAGCAGTTTTAAATCATTTTCCAATACTGATTCAGTGTATGATCTATATTAGTTTTTATCAGTAAGGACAGGTGGATAGGTGACCATATCTTTGCATCATCTACCATATCAACAGTTATCTTTTTTTATCAGTCATCTGTTTTACCAACATTAGTTCAGAATTTCTTTCTTCTTTTTTGAGATTCATTTAATCTATAATATGGCACCATATTATTATAATTTCACATGATAACTCTAAGACTGGAAAGCAGAATTAAGCAGATTACCTTGGAGTAAGAAAATATTCATATACAGATTAAAGTTATGATATACACAATCAAGTAAACAGACTAAGAACAGATTACTATGACTCTGTGCACTGCCATGTCGCTTGCTTTTATCTGAATATTTATGATCAACATATCTGCTTCCCTCTACCTTCTATTCCTATGGACCTATACATACTGATAACAACTGGCAAAAATATATTAATTTCAGCTACAAGGTCTTATCTAAAAATATTGGATTCCTTTATGGTTAAAGACACTGAAAATTTAGAAATTCTATAAGCACATCCTCGATGATTTTTTGCTACACTTATAGTTTACACAATATTTGAAATCATGGGTAGTAGATTATTAGTAGATATTTTGATACTGTGTAAAAGTTTGTATCAGTGACAATAGAAATCCTATGCCACATAACTGAGACCTGCTATTTACTAGAATCATCTAATAAATCAACTTTGAATAAACACTTCTTTTGTTATATAAAATCTGTGAACATGGGATTGATACCTTTATTAACTCATTATTACAAAACTCAATTCAGTATCTTAATACTGTATGGCTGTATAAAAGAGAGTAGTAAAGTAATAAAGATATATATTTACATTAGAAATGCTGAACATGTTTTCAAACCTGGACCTGAGTATAGTCATTATTTTATAGTGCAATAAAATTTAACTATAAAAAAATTCATCAACAGTTAAGCAACTAACAGTCAGCCTGGTTGCATATGACAACACCTTTTCTCTTAAAACCTTCACTTGCAATTTTTTCTTTAAATCTTAAATCTTAAAACCTGTGATTTTTAAGTCTAATTTAGCTATCTGATAACATAACCAACTCTTAAATAAATGGTACTCAAATCATGCTGTTATATCAATATAATGTACACACTCACTCTCTCTCTCTCACACACACACACACACACACACACACACACACACACACACACACACACACACACACACACACACACACACACACACACACACACACACACACACACACACACACACACACACACACACACACACACACACACACACACACACACACACACACACACACACACACACTATATATGCATTTTGTTTCCACTGGGAGTAATATTATAAACCCACAATTACCATACATAAAGATAAATTATCATCATAAAAGAAAGTTAACATAAAAACAGTACTTTTGATGATATATCTATGCTTTAAAATTCAAAATAAAACTGAAACCTAGTAGACACTTATCCTATTCAGTGACAATACCTAACTGCTCTCAATAAAATCTACACTGGATAAAGGGCCCAAGAAAACAATTGGTTACAAAGTTGGTTTGCAAAATCTTGAACTATTTTATTTTTAGTTCATCTTTCCCCTATGCATACTTCCATTTAAAACGAAAAAAGGCCAAGTTTTGACAACAAAGATACTCTTGTTGTTTTGGCTTTAATTCAGAATATACCCCAATGAACATAGAGATACAGTTATCATAGGTAAAGATATCAAGAGGACATGAAAATGAAACTGCGCAGCGGAGAAAAGAAATTGAGAAACTAGCTGTTCTGTATAGCTATCAAATTCTGTCGCACTAAATTCATTTACTTATCATCATAGTAGAAATGTGATATTACACTATTTCCTTAGTTTTGTTTTAGGCAACTAAGAACTAGTTTGAAGAATCTAATCATACAGAGGAGTGTCTATATTATGCCATCTATTCAAACTTTACTGCAATTTCATTAAATTACAGGAATAAATATGTTGGAAAAGTCAACGGTATAACAAAATTTTAATATTTGTGATTCTTATAGTTTTCTCACTAGTTTCAAAATTAAATCCATTTGTAATTTTCATCTTGACAAATTTAAAAACTAGGTAAGTCATAATTCTCTTCACTTTACATAAAAAGGACCCAGTCAACTAAGTGATATTCTATTTCACACTACAGTCCAATCTAATACCAATAGCATTAGTCAGTTTTCTAACCCAATCTGTGACTTAATTTTATTCTAACTACAAGTAACATTAGAAATAATCATCACCATTACATGGTAAATAAGTGAAGACATATAAAAATACATTCAACTGTAACAATTTATATATATACATACTTTTTTTATTACAAAAAAATATAAAAATATAAACATTCCTGCTGTATGTATACTGCCACTAGTAATTCTACATGTAAGCAATCCTTCAATGTATCCTTAGAATATTCTTACAAAATGATAAATGCTAGAAAATACCACTATCTAACCTCAAGTATTAAAAAAAGGGTCTAACATGGAGAAACTTACTTAGCAAAGCTTCATTTAATTCTGAATTGGAGGCAATGTCCTAAAAGGAAAAGGGGTTCTTGCCAAGATTAGAAGGATTTTTCACTTTTGAAAAATGGTTATTTTCTCAAAATCTAATGTCAAAAGATTCCTTTCTGCAAAGTATCCACTGCTGGGAGTGATGGCAAACTAGCCATTGTCAACTGGGACCTCTGTTGATTTTCTTAACCCAAAGACGCTGGGAAAATGTAGTGTTCACTTTAGTAAAATGTCTCTACATTATAGACAATTCCATATCATAGTAGCAATATAAGATGAAAGAAAATATTTCTAGAAATCAAGGAAAAGATTAAACGGGAGGTATGTAGTACTAGTAACTGATTCACTGGTGACAAAGTACTTATGGAGCCATCTATGTATAAAGACTCACAATGGGCAGGGCATATTTGTACATAACAGCACTTGTGGCATCAAGTTAAAGAATTCACTGACCCATTTTTGTGACAAACCTCAACAACAAATTTACATGGCACAATCATTCTGAATTAGAAGAAATTCTCAGTAGGGAAAGTTGTCCCTGCCAATACTAGAAAGCTATTTTGCTTATGAAAATGGGTATCTTCTAAAATTCTTATACCAAAAGATGATATCTTAACTGCATCACTCTATATGTCTGTGATGTAATACATGGCTGGCTGAGTATTAGTGCTTTAACAAAAAGTTTTATCAAGCTTATCAATATCATTCTATTTTTGGCAAACTCTGTTTTCAATCTGATGTAAAAGTGACAGCTAAGACCTGCAGTTGTACATGTCAATTTTAGAAGGTTCCTTTGCATTTATCAAAGGGTATCTTCTCAAAATCCAACACCAAAAGACTCATATCTTTGCATCAGCCATGCAGTAGATGTGAAGCAACTGATGTTTAAATGGGTGTTAGGAATTTACTAAGAGCTTTTTTAAGCTCCTCTGCCAATGCTGACTTGTTTTTTTGATAAACTTCATCAACAAACTTATAGTAAAAAAGCTCATTTTCATTCTGAAATAAAGACAGTGCCTTAAAGGAATGCTGTGACTGCCTAGTTTTGGAAGGCTTTTTTACTTGTAAAAATGGGCATCTACTCAAAATCTAATAGCAAAAGATTCATATCTTAATTGCATCACCCTGTGAAGCATCTGTGATGCGGTTGATAGCTAACTGTGTGTTGGCAATTTCATTGAGAGCTCTGTTGATCTCTTCAAGTAACTTGTCTCCTCGATCAATGCCTCGTTGGAGCTTCAGAGCAGCTTCTTCACCTTCCTGCTCTAGCACCCTCATGTTGGCTGTCTGTGAATTAAAAAACTGTATGACTCAACTATAGCACTTTGCTTAAACTATCCTATAATCATCATGAACACCCAGGAGTTATAAAATATCTTAAAAAACAAAAGTTTCCATGCACATCCTAGCTCAACCTTCAAAAGCAAAAACTAAATCATGAATACTTCAGCCCAATACATAAGGTCTGTATTACAAATTAACAAACTTGCCATATATCAAATTTATTCTTTGTACATCCTTTTTTACCTGAAGTTCAGCTGAAGAGTCTTCAGATGGAAGACTTTCAATCAATACATCTATATCCTTAGCATTTCGAGCAATGAGAGTGGCAAAGACTCTCTTGTGTTCAGTCATATCTGCAAAGTTAAGTATTTTGAAATCAAACACTTTTATATCATGGTAAGATGTTTGTATAACAACATTACTAAAACTCAAGAGTACATTGTGGAATATATCTACATGAAAAATTAATACCTGAATATTTAGTCTTACCATCAGGATTTTCATTTTGTGAAGGAGTCTTGCCACTTTTATCAAAGCTACATGGTGGTGCTGAATTAAACAAACAGCCTATGCTATTATAAAGGTTCTCTGCTTGCTGTAAGGATAAGAAATAATGAGCCAATGTGTATGAAGTCTAGTCCTCTGATGGAAAAAAATATTTTTTGCATATATCAATATAATTACAGATAACTATAATAATCTATATTCAGTTTTCTTAATCAAATTTAACCCTTTTTTATATGAGTAAATCACAAACCTTGACTAACTCACTTTTTCTGCAGGAATTCCATCTATGAATCTTGTTATGGGAATCCATATCAGAATTAGATTATTACATCTACACTCAAGACCATGCTGATGTTATAATTCTGATCTAGTATATCTAACAAGTCACATTCCTGCTAACTATTCCTCTTCTCCATACTAAAGATCTGAAACTGGTTTTAATTGTTTAACATATATCAAAACTAATGACAGCACTTTTGTCAAAAAATATTTTACAAGTGAGAAGTTACACATGCAATTTCATTATCATAAACAATAAAATGAGGATCTAGTCTTCCTGTAATGATATTCTAATTTGTCTTTTCCTTTGAAACAATATACACCATATTTTTAGCCTCATATCTTTTTCAATAGTACAAGGAGACACTATACCACTCTGCTACTGGTCATTAACTGTAGAGAAAAAAATGAGCAAATTGAAGTGATCTTGATTTGCAATCATTTGAAAAAAAAAAAAAAAAAAAAAAAAAAAAAAAAAAAAAAAAAAAAAAAAAAAAAAAAAAAAAAAAAAAAAAAAAAAAAAAAAAAAAAAAAAAAAAAAAAAAAAAAAAAAAAAAAAATATTTTTTGCATATATCAATATAATTACAGATAACTATGATAATCTCTATTCAGTTTTCTTAATCAAATTTAGGACCAATGCTGATGTTATAATTCTGATCTAGTATATCTAACAAGTCACATTCCTGCTAACTATTCCTCTTCTCCATACTAAAGATCTGAAACTGGTTTTAATTGTTTAACATATATCAAAACTAATGACAGTACTTTTGTCAAAGAATATTTTACAAGTGAGAAGTTACACATGCAATTTCATTATCATAAACAATAAAATGAGGATCTAGTCTTCCTGTAATGATACTCTAATTTGTCTTTTCCTTTGAAACAATATACACCATATTTTTAGCCTCATATCTTTTTCAATATTACAAGGAAACACTATACCACTCTGCTACTGGTCATTAACTGTAGAGAAAAAAATGAGCAAATTGAAGTGATCTTGATTTGCAATCATTTGAAAAAAAAAACTTTTGCACTTCCACAATTAAGCAGCAGATTGGTATAACAACCTTCCTGCTGATATCATAATGTATAATGGTAAAACAGGATACAAAATTTTTGTGAGTTTGAGATATTACCACCTTTATAAGGATATTATAAATGTATCATGAGTTGTTGAAGTCAAGGATTCTATTTCAAATTTAATCTTATTCATTGCTTCCCTGTTTTGTAGTAACACAAATGAAACAAATGACATGTTTAGCACATCAGGTAGCAAGCTATGTGTGTATAATACATGCTGTATTATTACATAACTGTACCATATAATCATCAGGTGAGCAGGGATAATAAAGAAGTGACCACCTGATAATGACAGCACATCACATACTACTAAACTACCTATAACATAAATGTTTGATGTTTGGGAAAATTCTTCTTAAAGTATTACATGGAGCTATCATTATTAAAAGATGACTGTTAACATTGCTATTCTCCATATTTATTTCCACTCAAAAGTAGTGCCTATGTACAACTACATAAGTAAAGGATAAAATTTTCATTGGTTAAACTTTATGGTATAGACACATACCATTATATTCTTGTAGAGGACTAAAAGTTGCAGTCATCAGTACAAGAAATAATATGTAGGCATGAATGGTAATGCCACAAATAAAGGAAAAAGGTCATGGAAAGTAATCAGTCTAAGTTTGCTCAGTCCTCCTGAGTTTCATCTCTGTCTTACCATGCATAACAGGGTGAAGACAAGGCAGTGCCCAAAGGGAATGCCAAGTCATGGCAAATTAGATTATCAGGACAATATGTAGCATAAGGTAGTGGCACATATATTACCACAGGGTCCAGGGGGTTTAGCCCCGTCTAGGCATATATATTACCATGGGGGTCCAAGGGGCAGATCCCCCTGGCTAGTGAATATATACCACTGTGTTAGGTTAGGTTGGATGTTAGGTTAGGATGTTTTGCTTAACAACCATGGGGGTCCTGTTTTACTCCATAATTTCCCTAATATACTTCATACCCTCCCCTGATATTGGGACAATCAAATCAAGATTGTCAATGGAGATCGTGATCATATCTCCTTAACAATTCATTTGCACAACTAACAATGCCTAGAATCACAGAAAGCTGTGGATCTCATGCAGGAAAATATCAAAATTGTTTCAAAAGTAACCCACTACCCTCTTATACATATTGACCCTATTTGCTAATAACATGAAGCTTATAGATACTCCTAGATATTTATTGTCGTCAAATAAAGAATTAAAATTCCATCTTGCCACAATGCAAATAGTAGAGCTATGTTAGTCTTTATTAGAGTGCAAAGACCGTACTTGAAGCGGTACTACTATGGACAGATACGGAGTGCACTTGATAACCCACATCAGCTATGCCAGATGAAGCTGTAACGCAATAACGATGACCTCGAATGAACTAAGGACAAACTGTCAAAGCTAATATTCGAGAAAATCACCCTAAATCTTACAAACAGAACCAATAATCGAGAGAAAATCCCGTGTTCTGCTCACCCTTCCATGTATCTAGACAAATAGCAACAGGCAGATGACATAAAAGTGTTAAAGAAGTAGAGATATGATTGATAATACCATGTTAACTGCATCTTGAAGCTGCGACAGACGGTCCGCCATGACTGTTGTTGTTATGCTGTCTCTCTCTCAGCCAATCACGGCCGCTCTTCCAGGGACCGAGAATATAAATGTTTACTGAGCGAAGGAAACTTGTGTGTATAAAAGTTTTTGCTGGGATCAAACTTCTCAAATGCATGTTAGAATCAGGATAGTATAAAACATTTTCTTTTTTTTTGCCAAATAGTTTAGTTGGTGCTACCAAAGGAACGATTTCTGGAGACTCCACTCTGTTACTCTTCCTTATGTATGTATATATATATATATATATATATATATATATATATATATATATATATATATATATATATATATATATATATGTGTGTGTGTGTGTGTGTGTGTGTGTGTGTGTGTGTGTGTGTGTGTATGTGTGTATGTATGTATGTATGTATGTATACATACATACATACATATATACATATATATATATATATATATATATATATATATATATATATATATATATATATATATATATATGTATATATATATATATATATATATATATAAATATATGTGTGTATATATATATATATATATATATATATATATATATATATATATGTATATATGTATATATGTATATATGTATATATGTATATGTGTATATATGTATATGTGCATATATGTATATATGTATATATGTATATATGTATATGTATATATGTATATATACACACACACACACACACACACACACACACACACACACACACACACACACACACACACACACACACACACACACACACACACACACACACACACACATAGACACATAGACACATAGACACACACACACACACACACACACACACACACACACACACACACACACACACACACACACACACACACACACACACACACACAGTACAGTACAGCTCTTACGTGTTTTTAAATAAGTAAAGAATCGGGTAATGGGTTGTCTAGTCTGTTAGTCATGGGTTATGTA